GTTTTTAAAAATGTCTAAAGAATTTCAAAGAAAAATTTCAAAAATCAATCTCATATACACCTCTGTGTCTCGTTGTTCATAAGAGTTTATTTTTGTTATTATTTGTTGTTATCATCATCTCATAGTCTGTTCAAATAGCACAAATTTATCTTTCTATGAATTTGCGAATTACAATCATTTAATTTTTAAATGAAATTTGTGGTTTTCTCCTTGCTACCCGGTTGGAAAATTTGTTTTGTTATAACTTACTTATTTTAACATTATAACACTATTGCTTTTATTAATTACATGTTTACTAGTTAATGTTGACTTTTGGTCCTTGAGCGAGTTGTGTTTATTTATTTCGGATCTACAAAATTAACATTGTCTGGAACTACAAAGCCATGACATTATTAGGACAGAAACTCTGTCAACTTAACTTTAGGTATATTGGAGACTTATGGTTTTGTAGTATAGATTTTTCCAGAGGGAATCACTTAATTTTCATAAAACGGTGCTGCCCAGTTATATTGGATTGCTTCAGACACAGCATACTTATCAATCTATACAATTCTTAAAACTAATATACAAATATACAGTACCATCAATATATATGAGCTTGGTAAACAATTTTTTCTTCTTTTTTCACTATTTCTTTTATTAGTATTTTATTTTTCTTCTCGCCCTTTATATATTTCTCCCCACATTTCCCCCTTTCTCTTCCTAAATTAATTCATACTTTCTGATATCAAATTATACTACAATGACAAGAAAAAAAAAACAGAGTGCACAAACAATAAAACTAACTAAATGAAATTAATATATAAAAATACAGTAGATGTGTTGAATAAATAATAATATAAACAAAAAAGAATATAATTACCTTTCATCTTTTTTTTTTAGCTTTATGCTTATTATAGTAATTGTCATAGTATTTTTCTTTCTGATATTTTTTACATTACTCCAAACACTTTCAGCTTAAAATGGTTTTGATAATTGAAAAAATAAATTTGTTGAGTGTATTCAGATTTTTGTTCCTAACGAGTAGTGTTTTTGATAACTGTAAAATTGCAAAGGTGCGTTTTGTTAAGGCTCATCCGTGACTGTTTTTACCCATAAGGATAGCATATCATGTTACACCTCGATTTCGTATCGTAATGTTATTTAAGAGATGATATATCTCATCCGAAATTAGTTATGCAGCTTACTGATCCAAGAGCGCACCTGTGCCCTTAACCATTTCCTATTTTCAAGCTGGTATCATAGATAAACTTATAGGTCTAGCAGTGGGGTTATCTTTCGAGGTATTCGAGAGGACGTCATTTATCTATTTCTTGAGGATTTTATCTGTGAGTTTTGTTGAGTATTACATCGAAGGAGAACATTCTCCAGAATTCCTTCTGTTTCGTCAGTATCGTGAATCAGTCCTGTGTCGGTTCCTGAGGTGAGTGAACTGTGAATCTTTATAATTATTTGATCTTTTAATAATAAAACTGAACGTTGTAAACAAAAAACACGATGTCGCAAGAGCCTTACACCTTTTGTAACCGTTGTTAGGGAATCGTGAGCGATCGTTAGAAACAATCCCGTCCCGTTCATAATAGCTTCCGCTATTGAATATTTAAGTGTGGCAGTAAGAATAAATCGGGCTGAAACATTGTACTGCATATTTTCATATTTCGAGAACTGGACTTCCTTTATTTACCATTCAACAAGTATAAAACGAAATTTCATTGCATTAAAAATTAATCGGGAAAAGCTGGATAATTCTTTATTTTTTCAATTACAAATAGTCTGTTATCTTTTATATATTATTTCTCAAAGGTTTTATTTTATTTTTTTATTCTTCGGCAATTCTTCATCAAATCCATTGATAAAGCCCTCATTTTGAAAATTTCCTTCAGGTGAGAAAAATATTCGCATACCCACACCAAAATTTCAGAAAAAAGGTCATGGAAAAAAAGAAACTTTACTTGCGCATAACTTAAAAAGTAAAATTTTTTTTTTTTCACAGACTGATGTTATTATAATTCGTAACCATGTTGGTTTAAAATATCCATGAAGTTTTAAAATAATAATTAAATCACAAATATTCTTTGCGAATTATTCGCACGGGTGAACATGATATAATTTTTTTTTTTTAATTTTAAAGACATGTTACTTAGTTTTCAATGACTTTTTAAAAAAAAAATTATTTCAACTACACAATTACAGTTATCATGTTTCTCTCAACACCAGGCAATTAATTATACTTAAAAATTTGCTTACAATTCGTAATCTTGATACGTTTAAACTGGTTGAATATCTCACCTTCCAATCTGAAAATAATTGTTTGTAATTGCCAGGCGTGTTTAACGTCTTGGAATGTTAAATTCCCATGATATGAGCTCTGATTCAATTGGTGATAGTTCAATTATGTGAGAAGAAACATCACTCACTATTATTTTTTTTTCATCAAAGATTGTAATTGGAGTGTGAGATTATCTATTTTTCAAGTGGTTTCGTCCAATGCCATTGTAATTTACCTAATCATGCCATAAAGATGAAGATTTGTATTTATAGATATTTTTTTTCTTTCTCTTATTTGGCAATACATCATTAGTCCAATCAAACCAGGATAGATAAGGGCAAATATGAGAGATATTTTGTTGTCGTCACGATTTTTGAGTTACTAACACAAATCTGATTCTTAGCTGACAAAAATTCTCTTTGTCTTATCTTTATTTTCAAAAAATGTTGAAAAATACAATTGCGTGTATTTGATCTCGCACATGGTACCTTTCTTGTATATACTTTGATAGATTACATATTTTCTAAATTAATTCATCTTCATTCAGTCAAGTTCAATTATTGTTTTAAATTTCCCTTCTTTGACACTTCTGTCCATCTGTTCATTTTTTTAAAAACCAAATTTACCTAAGTTTGTATTAAAAATATAACGAATTTTGTCCCTCAAACCACGATAACGTTTCAACTTCCTATATAGTTCAGTGGATGTCTATCAGATAGCCAGTTATCACGTAAGATTCATATGATATAGAGTCCATCATAGTGACTTGGAGATGCCTACAAACATTACAAAAAGTTATTAGTTGTTCAGAGAATATTTTCAAATTTATTTTTTGAGACATATAAATCGAATTAATAAGTTATTTTAATAACAATGAAACAGTAGTTTAAAATAATTTTCTATAATTGACGAATATATCATTTCTTGTTTAAATATCTTTATCTCCCGTTATCCATTTATCCTTCAGACTCTGATTCTATTCCGTCTCACATTTCCGCAGACAGTGATCATCATTTCGATCATACTGCACATTATGATAGTGTAAATTGTTAATTAAATCGATGTTTATCAGTATTTTTTCTATCAATAGTTGAGAATAAGTCGATACTTTTTAGATTCAATGAAAGATATTTATAGAATCTTAAGTCGGAAGTGGATGCCCAAGGAGGTAGTTTAGAAAAACATTAGGTCAAGAGGTAAAATATTAGTCCTTAGGTATGGTCATGACCTCGTACGTAAGGTTATAATCGGGTATTTCCCAACAGTCTGACTATTTTAATTTTGCATTAATACAGTCGCCATTAATGTGTTGTTGGTTTTTGTGTTTTTTTAAATTCTTGGTAATTCTTTTTTAACAAAGCCACTGAACATTTAACTCTGAAATTACTCTTAAACATTCAAATATTTTCGTAGGTTAGTTTTATAAATATGAAATGTTTCACTCATTGCGAATATTTTGTTTCGGAATATCATTTTTTTCGTATCAGAAGTGTAATATATTTGAAACGTTAATTTTACTTTATTGAAAATACCGTCTTAAAAGGTCGATTTTCTTCTTCTTCAGGTCTAAACTAAATTTAATAAAAATGATAGTTTATCATTAATGAAAGCATTAAATTAGAAAGTTAAAATTAGAAATTTTTAGAAAAATCCATGTCGTTTTTTTAACTTCTTATTGGTTGTTTTAAAAAGAGTAATTTAAGGAAAACCAAAGTCAGCTTTCTTTTTATTGTGATCTCCATGACAACAATGGTGATATAGACCTAACCCTAAAGTCTTTGAAAGGGGATAACTTCTTTAAATTTCGTAGGCATAAATTTCGTTTCAGACCAATTATTTGAAGAAAAATAAGTTTGCGTGTGGATTAGCGAAATTAGTCTATAGAAATTGATAAAACCGGAATTGGATCGTCATTTAACTATTCTCCAACTTTCATACAGCTTGGCCAGAATCTGACAAGCCGTTTTCGAGATATAGATGTGTTAATGAAAATATGTTCATCTGTATCGTTACTTTGGGAAGGAGTAAACTATATATATATTTATGGGAATGAAATATTTTGCTTGTAGCTAATGAGTTTATTGTTCTATTTCTTATTATTGTGTATTCCTGTTGTGTATTTACTACATAACAGTACTACACTTATAAATAAACTGCATCGTATATAATCTTTCCAAATTAAATCCATGGCAACGGTGAAAAGTGCAACTTTGTGAATTTTTATGAGTATCTCCAGAAAGCTAATTTTTCTCTCTTTCTTTGTGTCTAACGGCTAGGTTGTGCTGCTATTACAAAAATGAACATTCCTTTGTGAAACATTGGTTGAAACTCGAAAATTGAACTCGCACAAGTCAAAATTCTAAACTTTCAATTGCGTTTTTCCGTAAATATGATTTTTGCATTTAACACACTATGCACAGGTGCCACAGAAGTATTCTAATTACTTCTATTTTCTGATATGTTAATTAAGTTTCATTTAAAATAATACAAAGCGAAGTTTATAAATTTCTTTGCAGTTCGCCAAGAAAACTTGGTGATCAAACGTCATGAGATTAAGTTCTTTAAAATTCTCATCTTCAGATATGTTCATAAATATTAATAACTCTAGAAATAATAAACGACCGATTAAAGATTTAAATTGGTAATATAAAATAAATTGTAATTTATGAGGAGATTCTAAAGATTAGACAAGACGTTTTAGTAAAAAAAATGATTACGCCATTAACAGGAGATGAGAAACGAGATAGCGGACGGGTGAATGGTATGTTTGTTTAGTCACTGATAACTCCGTTTACACACAACACTTCACACACAGCAATTATGCCTTGGAAGCTAGAGGTTACTGTATTGTTTCAGCATGTATCAAGACCACTTTAAAACTAAAAAAAAAATCTGCGGTGCGGTGAGCGTACCACACAACTTTCGCTTACCACTCTACGTAAAGAATTAAATTTCATCTCAAAAATGTCTAGTTATAATTTAATTATGTAAATCTATAATGAAGACTGCTCTATGCTTTGTCTACCTATAAACACCGTTTGAAATACTTTCAGTGACATGCACTTTTATCATTAAAGTAAGACAAAATAGTTTTTAAACAACTCCAGTATGACATGTTGACATATTGTATATTTGTGGTTTGTTACCCTTGAAAATAATTGTTAGATAATCGTTTGAGCCCTTTTTTTTTGTTTTATTTTTTCAAGTGTAAAATCGAGTATATAATGTACCAATTCCGGAAGGTAGATTTTTACGAAAATGATGCTGTAACATTCCTGGCAATATACCTTAAATACCTAATATCACTATCTTACACTTTAGGTTTCGAACTAGACTGTTAGACGTCTTAGCCATAGTTACCATTTTGCCAGATTGGGTTGCATTGATTCATTGGTTCAGAGTGTATTGGTTCAAGATATATTTTTGTCAGAAACATGGATTCGAAATATTTCACGATCGCCATAATGTCACTTAAATAGCTACGAAATCTATAGGAAATAAGTAAGACATGATATCTGGTTTCGTTTAGTTTAAAAAACATTTATCCCTCCAAAAAAAAAATTGAAATTAAAACAGTCGATATAGATTAAATATTTAGACTGACAGAAGTGACGTTTGATTTGAATGTTTACTAATCCTCAAAAGTTGATGGATTATCACTTAAGTACCCCTTCCCTTCTGACCTTACTGTTTGTCTACCTGTCACTGCCTGACAAATTAGGATTGGACATTGGAAGTTCTCTGTTTTCCGTAGCCATTTCCTTCTACATACATTTATTCACATTCTCTTAAACTGAACAATTTCTCTTACTGAGACAATTAAAAATATGCGAAATGCTTTAATTTTTTGCTAATATATTACTCTTACATAGAGAGGAGAAAATGTAATCTTCGCTCTGACCAGAAACAGTATGAATTCATTTCAGATAATAAAAACACATGTCTGAATTATATTTGTTACAATAATGTCATAAATCGAAATTCACGATTTTTCATGTTATGCATTTGAAGTTTTAAATTTTGTATTAATTTTTCTGAAATTAAAATAAAGAAATTTTGTATTGTATAATTGTTGAAATTTATCATCATTGCAATTTTTCCTGTAGCATCAACTCAAAACGATTATCCAGCCATGAACTTGTAACAAACAAGCCATATGTTGATATATCTTGATTAGTGTAATGGTATTTTTAATTTTTTACCTTTTTATTTTACCAAGAAAGTTGATTTAATTTTTATTATGAACAATGTAAATCTAAATCAGCAGATACCATTAAAACATTATTAAACTCCGTTATCAAATCCACACTGTGGTGTTGCTATTAAATTAAAATACCCAAATCTTAAATACAAAATTATTATAACGGTAACATTTTTTTAACCAATATTTTTTTGCTGTACGGAGAACTCTTCTTGTATTGTACCTTCGATTCAAAACTTGATGAATATATTGCTAATGATATTTATTCAAGAAATATATAAACAATTTCAGATTAAATATAAGATCTATATTTAAAGAACAATGTTTTTTAAACTGTTAACATTACAATATTATTATATTTGTGGGTTGATGGTTGACTGTAGAGAATAATTGAAGAGGAGGATGGTTGGTGATCAGACAAAATAAAAAAAAGCAAAAATAAATAATAATATTTATTTTAACTTTATATGTATTTATTTTTAATAAATAAATATAATATTTATTTATGAGGCAGGTAAAGTGTAAAAATAAATATTATTATTTATTATTTATGCTGTTTTGACTGATCACCCCAACCAACCACCCTTCTCTTCTATTATTGTATTTATTGATAATAGATATAGATATTTATATTCATAAAAAACTTTTGATTTAAAAAATATATTACTAGTAACTAATTTTACTAATATTTTTGGTTATATTTTTTCAGTTCTGTATTGGACAGTGATGTGATCTTAGGATATTCAAGCAACCACGGAGAATTAGTAAATGTTAGCATCGAAGGAGATGGTAAGAGTGGCCCTCCATGGAATGTTCTCCTTACTGGAGAACATCCTGGACACGTAGTGGTAGCTTTCAACCTCAATAAAAATATTACTGAGTGAGTAAATGATCATTTTACATAATTTTAGAAAGAAAAAATTTTTTTGCTATTTTTAGTCTTGTAGTGATTTTTATGTCTTTAATCATATGTTAAGCACCTGTATTAATGGCATTAGCTGTTATCAGTTATCATATTAATGTAAAATTCGTTTGCTCCTTTCTTACGTCTATATAAAAACAAATTATTTTCAGTGTGAGTAAGGCGTTTGTCAGAGTTACTGTGATGAGGTCCTCAGATCTTGAAATCACCAGCGTGGTAGTCGGCTGGCTCTATTTCATTGCTTGGTCCATTTCATTTTATCCTCAAGTTTATGAAAATTGGAAAAGAAAAAGGTGATTTAATATTTAAATCAATAATTTACATCATAATGATTATTAATTATGTTTTCATTATCAAAATTAATATATATTCTACATAGATTGTCTATGTGTTTTATAATTTTTCACTCACTTTTATTGATTATATATATTTTCATTTTTTAAATGTATTTTTGCTTGTTTTAGTGTCGTTGGGTTGAATTTCGATTTTCTATCTCTCAATTTAATCGGTTTTTCATTGTATTCCATTTTCAATTGTGGTCTTTACTGGATACCTGCTATTCAAGTAAGTTGATTATATTAATTGTCTAATAGATTTATTTTACTTAGTTTGCTTTGACTCATGAAGAAATAAAAAAATTGAAATGATTCCATGAATAATTAGTACACTTTACAAAGTTAATGTTCTGAATTAAAATAATTAATTATTTGTTGACAATAGTATTTTATGCTTATTAAGTTCAATAATAATATATGAGATTAATTATTTTTTAAAAAAATATGCTCTAATTTATTTCTTCTAAATCAATCTTTGCCATGAGTTAAGGACTATAAATAAATTTTCTTAACGATTTATTCAATATATATAAATTTATCATTTTATGTATACATCAGTCTAACATCAGCAAATTAAACACTTTTCTAGGAAGAATATTTTTCGTTGCATCCAAAGGGATTGAATCCTGTTCAGTTAAATGATATATTTTTCTCTCTCCATGCCGTGGGAATCACTCTCATTACAATAATACAGTGCTTGATCTACGAGGTATGTTTCTTTGTCTTACTTAGTAATATTAGGAGTCTATGCATTAGCATATAATTTTATTTCATTGATATTGAATATTGTAATCCAATTTTATTAATAATTAGGTTTTATTAATAACTTTAATTTTTAAATCTTTTTATTTTATTTGTTTATTAGGTAACAATGTTTTTTAATTTAATTTTCATTAATCGTAATCGATCTGATTAACACCTTTTGTACTTTTTTAAACTTGAAAACATAAACCTAGATAAATATGGCATAGTATTGTTAAAAGTAAATACTATAATGTTCTGAAAACACTAATTTAAATTCAACAAATACTTATTAATTTGATTTAAATAATTGTGAATTTTGTTTTAGAGAGGTGGGCAATCAGTATCCTGGACTGCTCATGGTATTATTGGAGTTTATATGTTGATTGTGGCTGTGTCTTTGATTTTAAGTTTATTCACTTCTTATATGAGTTGGCTTAATTTTATTAATACTTGTTCTTATCTTAAACTTGTTACAACACTCATTAAATATATACCTCAGGTAAATTAATTTTTTTTATTCATGTGAATTTAGTAGTGTACAATAGTTTTCTATCAAACACATAATTAAAAGTAGAAATAATCAAAGAGTATAATGTCATTTAAATTATTATTTATTTATATTGAGAGTCTTGGATAGCTTAGAAGCCTATTATTACTAAATATTTGTATTCATGAGAGGTTTGACAAATTCCAAGCAATGCAGATTTGTTAAGTCATGGAGTTTTTCCATATAATATTTAATTAATTTAGAAAACGTTTATTTTCTTGATTTAATTTTTATGCACTTTTTGTAGTTTAGTGTTTTGGTTAACATTAAATTTTAAAATTATTTTTTACTGGAAATTCAACCCTTTCCAATTATATTCCCTTGTAATGCTGGACTCATTTTCCTCATTAACTTTTTAATTTTTAGTTACATTAATTATTTAGACTTGATGTGTTTATTTCATGTTGAATACTAACCTCTTTGGCCATTTTTTTCTCCAACTGCCCCACAGTGAAATTAACCCAACCCACCTTTCTCATACCACCCTGTTTCTCTTTTTCTGTTATTAGCAATTGACTTCTGGATCATGCTTTTTTTTATTCTATAAATAAATTTTACTTATTTTTTATCTTTTTATAACAATATGAAATGTGAATGGAGACTCACAACTGTAATTTCGATCTTTGAAGATCTGATTTACCGGAAAAATAATATGTAAAAAGAAAAGGATAATCGTTTTAATTTGAAATAATCGTTGTCTTATAAAATGTCCTTCACTGGCGCGTGGTGTTGGTTACTTTAAGAGAAAAGATCAGCAACTTGTTTACCTGCTGCTGATAAGTTCTTTGATAGTCTGTTTCTTCTGAATCCAGTGTATTTCTATCACGGCCAGAACTAGGTTAGGGCGTTTGCCGCCAGCGTGTTAGGCCGAATTTTGAACGAAATTTTAGTTTTATGTTAAGTGAAAAAAAAAATTATTTCTGATCAATTTTAATTGTTTAAATAAATGCAATACAATGAGTGTAACAGAAGTGTAATATATGTATTCATCGAACGTCCGAAAAGGTCTTCCAAGTTAACAGATTTGTATTGTGTTACATCTAGAGAAAGAAAGTTTCAGCTAGTAGAAAATAATTAATTATTATTTTCAAAAATCAGCTGCTTCTATGGAAGTCCTAGTTCCGGTCCTGATTTCAAAGCAGTTGTTATCTTAAAATAAGCGCGAAATTAACCTTCTACTTTTTATCAAAAGCTGTTTGTTAATCTACTAGTTTATGAAAAAGTTAGTATAATATTTGAAACAGGCTATTTGAAAAGCCCCAAATTAGAATATTATAATGATAAATTCGACATTGAATTAGAACGATCATTTGATCCAGTTCAACATTCAGTGGCGAAGAGATCTAAACGGTGACAGGACCTTGGACAGTGGCCGGTTGGAAGTTCCTGTCATTTAACTTCAATGTCCCTCCAATTGTATTCTTCAATAATATGTGCCAACTATTTTATTAGTAGGATAGGTGCACTTCCTTTGTCACTATGGTGGACTATTGTTCCGATTTTATTTTATAAAATTGCATTATTATGTGGAATAATAAGAAGAGTTCGACATTTTTATCGCTAAGCTCTTAATTACTATCGCTAAACCAATGCGATCTCACACGGGCGGATCTACGGGAGGGGGGCTTTCGGGCTGAAGCCCCCCCAAATGGGGAAATATAACTATGTTTTATCGAAAAAAATATTTAAAAAGTATCTCTTAAAGTATTATTGTTCGTGTAATTACATTTAGAAGGTCTTTAGGAATCACTTGAACACCATTTCATACAGGTAGTTAGTTTCTTTCCTTTTTTCCAAAGTAATTATCGTTATTTTTATGAAAAAACAACTTTCGGGCTGAAGCCCCTCCCCCCAAAAATAAATCTTGGATCCGCTAGTGGATCTCACAAAACATTTACTTCCTGAAGTTTACTTCACTACGTAAACGCCTGCTGCTGGCGCGATCTACCAACGCTCATTGAAACTACTTTTCAAGTACTTGAAGCAAATTTACTGTGATATGAATAAACAAAAATTAATAAAATAATTGAATCTATTGAAATGAAAATATTATAGGTATTTCCTCTTTTCAATAAATTTTTCCCACAACCTGTCACAAAGAAAATAGACAACAGTAAGATGAATTTGACTATGAAAATATATTATTTTCAAATTTTGAAAAAATATTGGTGTTCACTTAGTCTTTCTGCTGATTAAAACTTTTGTTATACCACTGGTATCAGTGTTATTAAATTAAATGTTATTAAAACATGGCTGTCTTTACCTCATATTAAAAAAAAAAATATATTGTTCATTAAAAAAAAAAAAAAAAATTAATTTTTTATCATTACTTTCAGTATAAAATTCCTTTCTGAACCTAATTTAAATTATATTTAACCATCTTCTGTAAATTTCTTGGTTTCGGTTGCATCAATCTCAATAATAATTTCTGTTTATTTTACACATCCTGTAGTAGTGTTAGTTATTTAATTATCCTTAAATTTTAATGCCATCAATCAGGGAATTTTTATCTGATAAATACACACAACTCCATAAATCTTATTTATGCATTTATTTGTTTTACGTTAATTTTATTTTATTTCATTTTAGGCTTATATGAACTATAAAAGGAAAAGTACTATTGGTTGGAGTATTGGAAATGTGGTATTAGATTTTACTGGAGGTATCCTCAGCATGTTACAAATGATTATTAATGCTGATAATTATGGTATGTTACATGATCTTTATATATAATCTTATTATAATTATTTATTCTGTGCTGTTCATCATGAAATGGCAATTTTTCATATAATTTTTATTTATTTTGAAGCACTTTTATGACATTAATTTGATATAAAAGACTACTTTCTCTGATCTAGTTATCTTTTTGAAATAGGCTAATATAGAATTTAAGAATTAATTAAAAATTTATTGAATATAAAGACCATTTTTAACATCACTTTAGGTGTGTAATAATTATACTGTTTCATTAAGCTCTTTATTATTAATTATCGGCTACTAACGTCATACTTTAGCATTGATTTCTCAGCAAAGTTATTATTATTCTTTCTATTTTCCATCTTAGCTTTATTGAATAGTTTTCCTATCTCGACCAAAGAATAAGTTTTATTTAAATTTGCACTACGAGCAGCTCATATACAGTGCTTACAGATCTTTGCTTACTTTCTTTTATGGTAATAGCTCAAATGTTGGTAGAAAAATGTATGACAAAATCAGCTCCTAGCAGATTATTAATGCCCTCTGATCAAGCGTCAATGACTAAGATAGAAAATTTTATATATAATTTTTAGTTATTATTATTTTTTTATGAATGAAGAAAACAGTTGGGAATATTTTGATATTTAATCAGTCCCTGTGCCTTGGTTTTGATTAATAAAGTTAATTGATCCAATTCACTGCTGACAGACAGATTCCAATCGTCAAGCCAGGGCTGTGAATGGTGAGTAAAGGAATATTAATTAAACAATCCTTTCGTCTCTGACTGAGATCTTTCAACTTATAGAAGATAACTAAACTCAGAGGCTTACTGTGTGACCCCATCTAATAATTATTACACTTCATTTGAAATTGTCAAGTTGGCTTTCAATCCTAGAAAGCTGCAAGAAAAAATTTTTAGGTTTCGGACAAAATCAGTTAATATCTTAATATCTTTATTCAAATAATGATTATCTATCTATTTGACAAAAGTAAAATTTATAATTGAATTTTTTAAATCAATATTTTATTAATACATGTTTTTCTAGATGATTGGGAATCTATATTTGGTGATCCCACAAAGTTTGGTCTTGGTTTCTTCTCAGTTCTATTTGATATTCTCTTTCTTGTTCAGCATTACATCCTCTACAGGTGAGTTTTATTTAAAAATAATTAAACTTTTTCAGGGTCATGGGTAAGTAAAGTTTTATTTCACTGCAATGTTAAGCACCACAATTTGAGTTGAATCATAATTTTTAGTCCTTTTTAATTCAGTTCTAGTTTCATTTTTGTGGTTATCATTTAATTTTTTTAGAAAATGTGGCTTTTTTTATTTTAATAATCTATCAGGATGGTTTTATTAGACTGATTTTATATACTGATACTATTCTTAAAAAATTTCAATAAAACTTCATTTCAAATAAAATCAAACTCATTTCATCATAATGATAAAATAAATACTCCCTAGTATGTTGAGTGTATTCAAAACTCGCATATTTATTTTTATAGTTAAATATTTATATAAAATACCTAGAAAGAGGTGCAAATCAAAAGAGTACAGGTCTTTATTAATTTAGAATTGATATTTTTAACAGTTTTTTTTCTGTATTTATATTGAATAAAATAAAGGAACATTTGTTCCTAAGTTTTGCTAGTTACCAAATTTTAGTTTCATTTGGAGTATAATGGTACATATTATATATGGTAGATTATAGTTCTCCATTTTTTGAGTGTAGTGATAAAAGAATCATTGTGCTCTAAGGAATATGTTATCAATAAATCTAGTATATTTATACTGAGCTCAAAACCAGTCGAGGAACTACATAGGTATATTCTGACATATTTCTGAATTTTAAATCAATTAACTCAGTAGACCTGTGTTGGCCCAAAACAAAAAAATATTGTCCATGTCCTTTGTCTGCTATTTAGTCTCTGCAAATTAAATTTAAATCAAATAATATGAAATATTCATTTATTTATTTTGTTTTGTTGCCTGTTCCCTGTAAATTCATTAGTGACGATGTTGTGTTAAATCATATTGTAATTTTTTACCAGTTTAAAGAATTCTATGGTTTTTACATTACATTTTTTTAATGTAAGTGTTAGTTTTTCCCGTGTATTTAAGTGTTTAAGTGTTTAGTGTTTAAATTTAGTCTTGTGAAATATGTTTCACTGTTCATTGGGCATTGCAGCTTTCACATATTATAGTCTTTAATCCTTTTAATAAGTATCCTTGTGAGAATTCACAGTGTTCAGTTCTTAGCTGGCAGAGTTTTTTCCTTTCTAGATGATCTGTTTGCGGTTTTCCATTTGGAGTACTGAATTTTTATCTCTTTTAGTTTTGTATCTTCTTGTTCCCATTTTCAAAATCTCTGATGCAATTTTCTTTAGAAAGTCCTCTTTTGGAATTTTCTTCCCATCTTGTTTGTTGACGGGATCGTTCCTTATTTTCTGCCTAAATGGACCGCCTGATCCGCTAGTTCATTCCTGAAGATTCCACAATGTCAAGAGACCCAAATGAATTCTATTTCCTTGCCATTCTGTTTCAACTGCCACCAGATATTTCTAATTTCTCTTATCAGGGTAGTTCTGGGTCTGGGATTTTCTATGGAAAATAGTGCACTCGTGGAATCCATTATTTTGGCCCACTAGGCATAATAACTTGACTCGATATGTATAAGAGCTTGCCTTATTATTGCCACCATTTGTCCAAAAATACCGAGCATATACTCGGCAATCCGAAAATTCATCTGCCATGTTTTCAATTTTTTCAAGAGTTTTTTCATCACTTTTTTCCTTATTTCAACAATATAATGAAATAGAATCAAACCATACTGAGTTAATTCATACAATTTTAAAACCAACTATATAGTATATATATATATATTTGTTTGTTTTTTCTTGTGGATAACGTAATCTGTAAAGCTAATATTTTCATAGTTCATTTTTCATATTTCCCAAAGTTTTTCAGATGGACCTGTATTTTCTTGAAAAGCACCTCAACTGCCAAATCAGTTTAATATCGTATAATTCTTGTAATTATTATTAAATGAAATGTAAACTCCCATGTCATCATCATTACAAAAAGATAATGAAATATCAACTTATTAATATCAATAAATGCATGCTAACTGAAATGATAGTTATAGTTGAATGGAGAAAATAAAGCATGAATTTTCGCACTATCAAATTTCTTCTTCTTCTAACATGCACTTGGTGGGATTCCTATTCCTTCTTTTGCTTTGAGTTATATTTTACTTTGAGATGATAATACTATTATAAAATTTAATTTATTTGCATGCATAAACAACTGCTGCTTCTTGTCTTAATGTCTTAATATTATTGCAATTATAATGTTGGTACATTAAACCAAGAAATTTTTATTAGTTGGAAATTCTTCTCCTGTCTACTGTATGAATTCCTAATAATTGCTAACAATTATTTTCGAATTATAACAGGAAAATTTCCATCTAAAACAAAGATCAAACCAGGTAAGAAATAAATTAGGTTTCACCATTCTTTTTTTTTTTTTTTATGTCAGAACAATTCACTTTTAATAACAGATGTTTCTATGATTCCCTGTTTCAAGTAATTTTAACTTGCTGATTTATTTATATGAATCAATATGGGAAAGCCAATAAAGGTGTAAACATCTTAATGTATCTATACTTTGATAACAAAATTATTAACTAATAAATATTACACTTCTGACCCAGTGGCATTTGTATTCCACTAATATTTATTATTTTCTTTATCTGTTTTAATTAACTATTAAAATTTTTATATTACTTGAAATATTCTCTGGCCCAGCACATTAAAAACAACAAGGTCATAATTCAAGACAATCGTTTTAGAATAATTCATGTTAGGAACACAGATCATATTTGCTTATATTTTAATTCAAAATTTTGTATTTGAAGTTTATAATAATTTATATTGTCTGGTTTATAGATCTGGCTTTTAATGCCTCTTTATTCACTTTTTTTTTCCACTTAAAATATGAATTTTCACCTATCAAGTTTTTGACTATCACCGAATGGCTTAATGATATAGGAAATACGATACATCAGGGCATGGTGTTCACGTTTTATATTTTTTAAATGTTTAAAAATATATGATTTTTCTCTCTTAAAAAAGCCTTTTCTCAACTTATGGAATGTTTATAGTCCGTGGTACAGATATCAGATTATTAACACCCGCCTAAAACTTTGTGTATGGCTTCATCTTATTGTAACCTACGAATTTTTTATCTAAGAAATTTCTCAGAAATGGGGTGTTTTCTTAATAAATTAATTAATTTAATGAGGTACTAAACAATGTAACAAACAACAAAAGATACCCATTTGATTTCCACTCAAATCGTAAGATAATTTGATCACAAAATTAGAAAAAAAAAAGGTGGCACACAAAAATATTGTGCCGTTTGGCCAATATAACCTCGTTAATTTGACATGTTGGGGGTTCAGATCACATCAAATTACCCAATATTTTTGTAGACTACAATTTTTCTTGTTCTGATTTGTGATCAAATCATTTTATGATTCAAGTGGAAAGCAAATGGGTACTCGTGAGTTTTTAGTTCCTAATTATATAGGTAAAGTTTGCTGATCTCTAGATTGAAAACGTCCTGATTTAAAGAATTTTCGTAGATAAAAAATTTGTAGGTTGTGATGAGATGAAACTATTCACACGGTTTTAGGCGTATGTTAATAATTTGATAAAAAGGGGTTTGTACCACGGACTATTAACATATTGAATTAAATCTTCACATGTTCTCCAACTGGCATAGTAAGGGTGGGTTATCCTGTATATCACTAATGTTTTCTGACTGAGGTTAGAAGGCTAATATTTATTCCCTGGATTCACAAAATGAAATCAAACCGTCCAAAGTGGATTTAAATATTCACTGCTTTTTATTTGTGAAAAGAATAATAAATTATAAAAATATTACTTTAATTGGCCTAATATTCAAGTTAAAACAACATTTGTAATCATTGTGCCTTATTATCACTATCAGTTACTTCAACCGAAATTATTCAATATATATTCTTAGAATTTGAGAGAAAATCTTAAAAATTTTCAATCAAAATTATTCAAAGTTATAATGTTCTTATAAAAGTGAGTAACATTAAAGAATTTTTTCATCAGTGTAATTTTTGTTTTTTATTAATGAAACAAAATAAAACATTGCATTGGCTTTCCCATCATAATATTCAGAATATTTCTAAAACAGCATTTTCTAATGGTGCAGTCAAATTGATTATTCACAGGAGGTCTCGGACTAATAACAGAGGGATTTTAGTTCCGCCAATAATCCATCAGAACCTTGGAGAAGTGAAGAATGGAAGCACTGTACCACTTATCCCATCTTCTTCATCGCTTGTCTAAACCCTAACCACTTCTTTGAATGAAAAACTTAAGCTTGATTGTGAAAGCTTGAGCTTTGTTCTTCTGTTTTAGCTTAAATCCAAAGACTTAAAACCAGTTACCTATTAAGTTTAATTTGCTTTCTTATTGAATAACTTTTATTAACTGAGTACATAGAGTAAAGACAAAATTATGTAGTAATTGAAGAGTTAATTAGATATGTTCATCTCTCATTAATATTTATGGGGTTTTCTTTTTGAAATTCCTTTTTCATTGTAATATTTAATGAACCTATTGAAGTCAGAAGTGGATTATTCCATTTGAGGGGAGAATACTCATATAAATATCTAGATTAAGATCATTATATTTACCTTATCACTGCCATTCAATTATAAAAACATATCAAATTAATATCTGATATTCTTATGTATTAAGTGCCTATTTTTAAAGTATTTTTTCAAAACATAAATTATGATTAGTTGAATAAAGCTACCTGGAGTATTTATTTAGCTATAATCCTCTTTTAAAAATTTTAAATAAAATATTATTATTAATGATTTAAATACAGCTTTCTTGATTTTTTGACAATCGTCATGGCTCAATATATAGTATTTTGTTCCTTTATTTTGCCTTTAATATAATTATAAATGTAATTAAATTGAAAAATCACTGCCAAAAAAGCAATAATTTATTTTTTATTAGCTTAAAAAAAATTATTTTGTCTTTGCTCAGAATGTTTCTCTTTAAATCTTGGTCTTGCAAATGGCTTTTGGTGTTGGATAAAAAAAG